ACATTGTACGATTCCATTTAAATAACTTAATTTTATTATGAAAAAAAAGTATTTTTGATATGCTTTGTATTGCTTTATACTGCTTACAGAATACAAGTAAAATTTTCTAATAACTTTTTTTCTCACGTGATTGCAAATCATATGAGCCGTTAAATTGAAGACCCAATATAGAAACAATTTCAAAACTAGATCTTTATTCGAAAAAGTTTCAATAACAGTTTAGTAGTCAGTACGTAGAATTGTTTATGTAAATTTTCTCGCGTGGTCAGGTCATCTTCAACAAATGTTTACAGTAAGGAAATTGGTATAATCCATTTTAAGCTTTTGAATACCGAACTGGCGGTTGTAAGCCGAAAAGCTGTATATATTTCTGTTGCAGTACAGCTTTGTATTGCTTCTGTAACTCGTCAAAAAATAAAGAACACAAAATAGGACATTTAACTATATTCTCCTTATAGCTCTGACTGTTCTGCTTGTGTTTTTAATTTGTTTTTTTTTTTTTTTTTCCAAAGCAAATCTCGAGCTTTTTTCGTTTATAGAATACATAAACTTGTGGAATTTTGGAAAAAGGTTCGAATATTAAATATTGATTATTTCGTAAAATAATGTTAAATGTAATGCAAGTCGCGATGTCTTGAGGTCTGTAATATAAATTTGAATGAAATTTTTCCGGTGCTTAATATTTATTCAAATTTATGTCAATTTTAATATAATTTCAGTAATAAATTTATACTTTTATGTGGTAATAAATAATAATACATGCAACTGCATTGCATTTTAAATAGAATTTATAATTATTGACACTTTTACGAAACAAATTACTTTTGGGTCCGATTTTTAACTTCAAAGTTATAATAAGTACGTTTAAAATTTAAGGGAAGATAAGAGACACTATCTAGATACAAAGTTGATAAGTTTAGGAATAAACTTTAAAAAGTTATTTCAATTATTTCATCCTTTTTGTATAAGAGTCGTTATAGTTATGTGTTCGAAAAATTTCAAACTTACCTTTGTTAACAGAATTGGCACTACCGTATTTACGAAGAAAGTTTCGGTAAGCTGTTCCTCTTTTACAAGATTAAGACGTGTAAATTTTGGGCTAACCCCGGCATTATTAAACAAAACATTTAATCCTGCGTTGCCTGTTTTATCGCTCACGATTTGTACTATTTTGTCGTAACTCTTCGTATCAGTTAAATCTTTAAATTAAAGAAGAAACAAATTAGGGATAAACTTTGAAGTCGTTTGCTGCTCTTTTAAAATTTACACGAATAACGAGAATTTAAAAAAGATACAGAAAGTAGGAAATTTTCATTAACCATTTTTGCATGTTATTGAGAAACTCATAATTAAGCAGAATAATGATAACATTGAGAAATTCTAAACTTTTAGTACGAATGAATATAGCTTTTTCTAAAAATATTTACATACACAATATTTGTAATTTAGTGTGGGTAATTTAATATAATTTCTACAAGGTATCAATTGTTTAATGAATTATTAAACTTTTCTGGCAATTTAATTTCAATTGATAATTCATTTTATAATGTAAATATAAATATATGATATTATAAAATTAACTATGTAATATAATAATGATCTCACAAGTAGAATATGCATTTATTTGATCTTCAATTTTATATCTTACTTTACATTTTACACTTTTCTGTCATTTTGTACTCATGCCTACTCGTTTACTTATCTACATTTCATTGTAAATATGTTTATGTCTATCGCTCTATTTTTTCTTATTTCTTTATTTATGAGTATTAATTTTATGTAGGTAAAATATATAGTCACTAATAATAGTAAATAGTAAGCAAATTTAACAATGTAAAATTATGATGTTGCTTTAAGTTGATATATTTCTGTAAATTATTTGTTTAAAAGAATTAATAAATATCACTAATTACATTTCATATTTCTCATCAGTGTTAATTTCTTTCCATTGACAGTATAGTGTATAGGGTATCTCATAACACATGGAATCCACATAAGCAGAAAGCGCAATGAAAATAGTTCAGATAAACATGTGACCTACTGGAACCTGCACCCAAATTATAGTGATCTTTGCACTCTAGTAATGTACAGCCGTTTATTTTTATAAAAAGAACATGAAATGGCCACGATTTGGTCTAAATGCAAGCTTGCAGCTGGTGTATATAACAATTATTTCTATCTCTTACCGTTAAATATTTATGTGCAAGATAACAAAGAAAATATTTGTTTAAAAATTACGCGTCATCAAAAGTACGCAACGGTACGTTTACTACATTTATATTCCATTTATTGCAATAGTTATACAAAAAAGAAAAAAAATTGCAATTTGCATTAAATATAAAATTGTCAAATTAATCATTTGTAAGATTTTTCAGTTCTATTAATATTAAAAAAATCACATGAAAATATTGCAGTCGTATATATAAAAGTTATGTAGATTAAAATTGCCTTAAACAATCATACCTTCACTACTAGAATTATATTTGATTTCATAAACTGCACAGTATTTTTACACAAAATGGGACTTGTCGCAATGTTTTATTGAAAATTAAAAAATATAGAGATATTTTGTCGCAAGTAATCACATATGCATATCTACTCGCGTAGATTTTCCTAACTTTTATCTTTTGCATAATATTGCATTTGTAAATTTTACATAAGTTGCTGTCTAAAAAACCAATACTCCATTATATACGATTTTTATTCCGTCATCTGAAAGTATATATTTGAGTTTTTTTTAATGTTATAATATTTCAAGTTTAATATGCAAAGTAATTTACTGTCTTCTAAATTTTGTATAATATCCAAAAGTAAATTTTCACATTTTCTTTACTCTATGAAATTTGGCTCCTTCTGTTTCTATGAAATTCATTCTAAATGAAACACAATTCAGTTGCATAAGTTTATGTTACCTGTTGATCAAGGTGACAAAAATAACGGAACGCTTATTATCAGATATCATAACTTATGATTCACCAGTACGTATCGATTACCGCGGTTCCAATGAAATTCTACGATCTTAACTTAAGCAATCAAATTCTTACTATCCAAACAGTGTAAATTTGTCGTCTATCGAATTTTCATCGTAAATTATTTCTTCATGAAATCTCACGGCTCAAAGAAAACGAAATCGTGGTGTCTCAGCTGTCGTAAAAAGCCGCAAACAATGGATTCGGATTTAAGTGATCAAGAAGTGGAAAATCACACAGAACCTTCGAACGAGTCTGCGGAAGAACAAGATAACTCCTTGGGTAAGCCGAAAAACATTGTTACGATTTGACGAATATAAAATATTTTATAGAAAGTGTGGAATATTAATGCGAAATTTATGCAGTTTTCAACAACTACGTTTCATTTCTTCAATTATTTCACAATAATGTCCAGGATATTTCTAAAAACTACAATTAGTTATAATTCCTTTTCAAGTTAAAATAATGTCGTAGAAGAAAAAATATGTATCTTGAATTGTATAATGAATTTTACTTATCTTCTAACAAGGATTTTGTATAGGTGTACTGTTGAAATAGAAAAATGTAATATTTTTATTTTCAACAGAATAATTCAATTTAACATAAATCGATTCCTATGGGAATGACAAGGTATAATCATTAAAAGAAATACTTAAAATGTTATTTTGTATTTCATATTAGCACAAAAATATTCGCTACAGAATTAACAATTATTTATTTGAACGCATGTATTAAACAATCTAATGATTTCATAGAATATGTAAACAAAAGAACGAGATGAATATGTTGCTGAACGATGCAACATTATAAAAAAAGGAACTAAGTAAATATTTCATGAAATATACAATTTTCGATTTAAAAAATTAATTTACGTTTAAAGATTCCATTCGTTTTTATTTCGATTGGAATAAACAGCTACATGTACCGCGTTTCATTTTCACAAATATTCTTTAAGCATATATTTTTGTAAAAATTTCATTGTTTGCATTTTACAAAAAGAATTGAAATATGTTAAATG